CCCAAGATGTAGCAAATGGCCGAGTTTATTGTGTGGTATCCGAGCTCGTAGGCTCGGCAAAAACTTCCCGTAAAAAACGGGGTCGGGTATCTGTCTACCACCCTAGACGAGACTCTGCCCTTTGGCACAGCCTCGTCTGCATTCCTCTCTGCCCGGAAGCAGAGAGTTTGACAAGCATACGGTGGAAGACCACAGTGAATCAGAGAATGAAGAAATGCCTAAAGACCTAATTCCTAAATAAAAATGTAGTTTGTCCGCCCGAGGATAGATACTACACTTTGATCCCTGTCCGATGGCCAGGAAGAGAATAAATCTTGTTAGTGCTTACTATTTTACGATCTGTTTATATTTTTCTTGTCCATATGTTCGTTTATGTCGCATTCATTCCTCCCTTTTCCTTGATTATTTCTTCAGTTGCTGAAATATTATCAGCTTGACCCAATCGTGTTTAGTTACAAAACTATTCGACATCACATTCTATCTCTATTAAATTTTCCGCGTTCTATTGGATTTTTTTTATTATTTCGACTTGCTATTTTATTTGATTGTGTTTTCGTCAATTGCTTTCCAGGATTTTTAGAAGGCATCACGGATTTCTTTCTTATTTTTAAAAAATAAAATTCATATTCATCGACAAAAACCCTCTTTGATTTCATTCAATTCTGAGTATCAAATTTCATTTCTTTAGCAGTTTTTTTGTCAGTCCTAAGCAGGTTCTCATGTCAAATAATAATAAGTTTTGTTTTCCATTCAAATTCAATCATATTGTGTCCACCATGATGGTCTCTGTGGGCCTACTTTCACTTTCACTTTCACTTTCATCATCGTGTTTTTGTTATTATTATTTCGTCTTCAGACATGTGTCTCTATTTCACTTCTCATAGCTCTCTTCTGTTTGATTTCAAGTGCCTTTGTTTCTTTTCTTGTCAGGGCGAGGGAGTGAGTTCTTTTTTTTTTTTTTTCATTTTCTGGTAACTTGACGTAATTGCTTAAATTAGATTTCTTTTAAAATTGCATTTGCCTTTCTTTTCTTTTTTTTTTCCTTTCTTTCTTTTTCCACTTATAATTTTCAAAACTCATTTTTCCCTTGTTAATCCACAGCCTGTAAGTTGTTCAGTTTAAATTATATTTGTTGTCCTCTATTTTAGTCCAACTTTGCGCACGCGTCTTCTAATAAAAAGATAAACACGACCGCATACATATATATATATATATATATATATATAGAGAGAGAGAGAGATATGAAATATATATATATATATATATATATATATATATATATATATATATATATATATTTCATATATCGATCTGTTGGTAGTTTGTAACTGCTTCTATTGAAGTCATGTTTAATCGTATACGTGTATTCCAAAACTGTTTACGAACGAGAAAGAATTCCTGTACCTATATTGTTTATTTGAATGATTGTTTCTATTTAAACTCGACATGATTTTGTAGTTGTTTTTTCTGTTACTCGCTTGTTTATTCATAAACGGTTACAAACACATATCCTTTATTCTTTTTTCTTTCTTTTTTTTTTAAATAGTATTTACATTCTAAGCCAAGCAAAAGAGCCAGCAGGGAACGGCGTGTGATTCGAATGAAAGGAAACATTATTAAAGGAGCGAGAACACTAAAAGAAGAGTAAGCAAGACGACAGAAGATTACCATTGACATTGCATTTAAATTTTTGAAGATCAAGCTTGACTGCTAAGCCGGAAGAGGATTCCACAAGTGAGAAGTGCGAGAAAAGAAACTATTAGCATAGAAAAAAAAAACATTAAAAAAAATATTAAGGAGAGAGAACAATAAAAGAAGAAGAATTAAGAAGACAGAAGATAACGATTGACATTGCATTTAAAGTTTTAAAGATGAAAGTTGACTGGAATGCAAGGAGACGGACGATAGTTCCACCCGCGAGTAGTGCGAGAAAATAAACTGTTAAACATAGAAAAACATTAAGAAAAAAAAATTAGTAGAGAGAACAATAAAAGAAGAAGAATTTAGAAAACAGAAGATAACGATTGACATTGCATTTAAAGTTTTAAAGATGAAAGTTGACTGGAAAGCAAGAAGCCGAAAGAGAGTTCCACAAGCGATAAGTGCGAGAAAAAAGGTTTTGTTATATCCAGCTATTTCGACTGTAAAATGATGAGATCTTACCTCTAATCTAGTAAGACTCTTCAATTCTTCGAGCCGAGGAACAATAGAGGAGAGTAATATTTATTTCATAAAGATAAAAAAAATTGATTCATGGCCAATAAGGGGAGGGGGAAGAATGATTTTATTCTGTCTTATAATTAAACTTACCTTCTTTTTTTACAGTGAGGGTTATACTTTACAAGGCCCGGAGGCCACTCGAGGAAGAGGGTTACGTTAGGAGGCTATTTGTGTGTATACGTGTGGGAGATAACGATTAACCCTAGCCTTGAATAGGTTATGGTTCTAGCGAACGGGGAAACATCCTGATGGGAGTTGATTCAACAGAGAAGTTGTTCACGGGAAGAATCTTCTTGAGTAGAGCTTACTTATCACCGATGGAATACGGGGGAAATATGGGTGATTTGCTACTATGTAAGTGGCATGGCTAGCTACAATTCTTTCTTTCTAAAAACAGAACGTAGGCGATCATAGCTCTGCAACCCCATCGATCCCTTGAAGCTCTCAACAAGTTCCTTCCCTCTGCTTCCTCCCCCAAACTGTCATCCACTTGCTTAATCCCACCAGGTATGTCACGCGTTGTTTTCCCTCTATTCTGCTCCTTAGTATCAGATTCTCCAGGCCCTCATTCCTCATTATATGTCCCAAGAAACTTCAGCAGCCCCTTCCTGATATTAAGTGTAAGCCTTCTTCTTTGCAACCTCTCTAAGAGCTCATGCTCAGTCCATGATATCTTTAGCATTCTTCTGTAGAACCCCATCTCCGTCGGCTCGAGTTCCTTCTTCGTCTTTAAGGAAATCGTCCAACATTAGCTGCACTAAAGGAGGACACAACAGATCTGTACAATTTGTCACCAAAGAAATCCTCCTGTCTCGCAATACTATGCCCAGCTTTTGAACTGTGTCCTTGGTCATCCCAATACGTCTATAAGAGGAATGGGGAAAAGGACGGGCTTCTGTCTTAAATTTAAACTTAGCCAGCAACAATTACTGGCCCAAATATTCTACAGCATTCTTACACCAAAACAACACTTACGTACCATTCTTACTACAGTCACCATAATACCCCAGAGTCTCTATGAAGTCCTAACTAGTCCCAATATGTACAATTTTTGACTGTTCTAGGACAGGAATAAAAACAACAATTTAAAACAAATCTATCCCCAATGTGTAATCACCATAGAAGAGACTTCATCAGAACATTTACCACAAAAATATTTATAGAAAAAGTATAGGGAAGATACATTACGGCGGTGAGAACGTGTCCGATGCCGAGATGACAGGTCAGTAACGTTGCAGATTGTGCTTTGGATTACAATAAACGTTATTTAGTTCTGTCCCAAGGCCATAAGTAAGGGCTATTCAAAGAGGATAGAACACATTACTAATGGTTTACAAGCCTAGCTCGTTAACCATTACATAAGGTTTAAAATCTGGCAAATGACGTAGCAGAGGGAGAAATGAGCGCCGCCAGTTTGGGCGAACTGGCGAAAATTAAATAAGAAACTGTCACGCCCAGTTTTCAAGTCAAGGTAAGTGTGCCCAGACGCGAAAGTCAACATTCGGAATGAAGGGCTACAACTAGACTCGAACAGAGCGACTGGCACCGGTGGCACATGCAAAAATATCGTACTTAGCAAGCCCCAAAATCGTGGCCGCTTTTGGGAATACCAGGTGCTTTAAGCTCTTCTCCCCCACCCCTAAAATCATTTTCTGGCTTTAAATAATAACCAGCAAAAGGTTTGTAAACCGTAAAAAAACACATAAATTCTGTTGGAAATAATAGTTGAGAATGCTCCTCCCCATCTATGGGTTAATTAGTAAGACTTGTATCACTAAACCATCATTATCTCAAAATAAATAAATGAATAATTTATTCCGAGTCTGTCGATATTTCTGAGATGGGGTATTATGTACACTGTTTACATTATTCGGACTATTGTCCTCATGTTTGTTGCCATATTTATCACAACGTTTCGGCCGTTGTACGCTCCGGCCTTCTTCAGGTGGTTGGAATGTCGAACTGACATCCATCAAACATGGCACGTGGAACTAGAACTATCTACCCCAGTGAGTGAAATAAAGGGTTCAGTTCGACATTCCAACCATCTGAAGAAGGCCAGAGCGTACAACGGCCGAAACCTTCTGATAAATGTAAATAATGAATAATTTCTTAAAATCTGAAAAATGTTCTGGCTTTAAATAACCCGCAAAAATGTATAATGTTTATATTTCGGAAAGTAGATCATATTATTATTATATTATTTTTATTATAGAACACTAATATCGACCAACTGGTCATGAAAATTGTCATTCGACGAGGTCAAATGTGAATGCACCAGTTTAAAGTCAACTTTAAGCGCAGTACTAGATTGGCGTTTAGGTCTCATCATTTTACATATAAATTGGCTAGATGTAACCATAAGTTCTTTGCTAAAAGTTTATTTTCTCGTAACTCTCGCCTGTCAAACTCTTTTGCTTTCAAGCCAACTTTGATCAATCGTTAATTGGTGTCTTCTTAATTCCTCTGATTTTATTATATTTTTTCTTTTCGTATTCTTTTACACTCAGTAACCCGTTGTGTTTTGGGGGCTTTATTGCCTTGCCTGTGGGTTAAATTATTTTTGAAAAAAGTAATAAAATATTGTATGTCTAATATGAAGCAACAAGGGCATTAGGGAAATCCTTCGTTTAAACCTCTCAATTCTATTCTGGCCGCGCAACTTCTATCCAGAAATACGACATTCTATTTATGCTATACGATTCTGACATCGTCACATTAGAGCAGCGACTATTTTTCGTTTCAGGATTAGAAAGAAAGAAAAAAATACTTCGTCAGCGTCAACTGCGAAAGGCGGCAAAAAAGCAGCATTTCACAATCTTGAAAACGGTTTGAGGAAAAAAGATAAATGAGAAGAGGTAAAAGAAATGGAACGAAAGAAGAAGAAGAAGAAGAAGAAGAAGAAGAAGAGATAGAAGATAGCCATTATTTATATCACCAGAGGGAAAAAGAAGAAGAAAAGGGAGCAGAAACAAACAAAAAAACGTGATGTCATATTTCAGTTCAGTTGGCGGGAAAGAAAGAAAGAAAGAAAGAAAGAAAGAAAGAAAGAAAGAAAGAAGTTCAAGTGACACTTCAGTACACTATGTGAAAAAGAAAAAAGGAAAGAAAGAAAGAAATTTATTCAAATGATACCTCAGTACACTGTGAAAAAGAAAGAAAGAAAGAAAGAAAGAAAGAAAGAAGTTCAAGTGACACTTCAGTACACTTCAGTACACTATGTGAAAAAGAAAAGAAAGAAAGAAAGAAATGTATTCAAGTGATACCTCAGTACACTGAATAGAAAAGTGTCAAAAGAAAGAAAAAAAGAAAGAAAGAAAGAAAGAAAGAGATTTCTTGCGACATTTCAGTTAAGTGGGCGGAAAAGTGAAGAGACAAAAGAAAGAAAGAAAGAAAGAAAGAAAGAAAGAAGTTCAGGTGGAACTTCAGTACACTATGTGAAAAAGAAAAGAAAAAAGAAAATGAAAGAACTGAATAGAAAAGTGTCAAAAGAAAGAAAAAAAGAAAGAAAGAAAGAAAGAGATTTCTTGGAATTTCAGTACAGACAAAAAGAAAGAAAAAGAAAAAAAGAAAAAAGGTGGAAAGAAATGTGAAAAAGAAAAGAAAGAAAGAAAGAAAGAAAGAAAGAAAGAAAGAAATTTATTCAAATGATACCTCAGTACACCGTGAAAAAGAAAAATGTCAAAAGAAAGAAAGAAAGAAAGAAAGAAAGAAGTTCAGGTGACACTTCAGTACACTATGTGAAAAAGAAAAGAATGAAAGAAAGAAAGAATGAAAGAAAGAGAGAAAGAAAGAAGTTCAAGTGACACTTCAGTACCCTCCAGTACACTATGTGAAAAAGAAAAGAAAGAAAGAAAGAAATGTATTCAAGTGATACCTCAGTACACCGTGAAAAAGAAAGAAAGAAAGAAAGAAAGAAAGAAAGAAAGAAAGAAAGAAAGAAAGAAAGAAAAAAAAAGAGATTTCTTGTGATATTTCAGTTAAGTGGGCGGAAAAGTGAAAAGAAAGAAAGAATGAAAAAAAAGAAAGAAAGAAGTTCAAGTGACACTTCAGTACCCTCCAGTACACTATGTGAAAAAGAAAAGAAAGAAAGAAAGAAATGTATTCAAGTGATACCTCAGTACACTGAAAAGAAAAGTGCCAAAAGAAAGAAAGAAAGAAAGAAAGAAAGAGATTTCTTGCGACATTTCAGTTAAGTGGGCGGAAAAGTGAAGAAACAAAAGAAAGAAAGAAAGAAAGAAGTTCAGGTGACACTTCAGTAGACTATGAGAAAAAGAAAAGAAAGAAAGAAATTTATTCAAATGATACCTCGGTGAAAAAAGAAAAGTGTCAAAAGAAAGAAAGAAAGAAAGAAAGAAAGAAAGAAAGAAAGAAAGAAAGAATGAGAGAAAGAAGTAAAGAATGGGAGAAAGGCGAAATTACTCATACGCCGCAGACCCCAATGAATAAATAAAAGTAACGAGAATGGATAAAATAAAGAAGAAAAACGAATTCGACTGAGACACACAAGTGAGAAAGAAAGAATCGGAATAAAAATGCGGAAACACTTGCAAGAAAGACAAAGAAAATAATAAGAAAAAGTGAAAAAGAAACACAGAAAAGCTATTAGCTCCGATTTGACTGTCGGTGGACTAATGTTTTGGAACTGAGCCAAAAGCACCGTTCGTATTTCGAGCAGCCGTCAATTTGGTAAAAGTCTTTTATGTACCGGATCACCTCAGAATGTGGCCGATCATGGCTCTCCAAGATTTACCCCCCCCCTATTTTTATTTCTTCTGGGGAACATCTTGACTCTTCTTTCTGTCATCTGTTCGCATAAATTAGCAAAGCAGGTCAATCGTTGTTTTCTTCTGCTTGACTTATGGTGATTTTCCAAGCGCAGCTTAAATGTGGCACAAGGCGGAAAATAGGGGGAGCACCCAGTGAGCATCGAACTCACTACCCAGTTGTAATTGTTCCAGCGAGACAAGCTTGCTAACCATTAAACCGCCTCGAGGTGCCCCTTCTGCTTGTCTTATGTGTGCTATTTTTCACCCAGTAAAAGGCCCAAGAGTCCATCAAGGTAGAGAATGCCGGAATGAGACTGTTTTATGGCCGCAAAAGAGAGGAGTTAAGAAATGCATATTCGGAGGATATATAGGATAGAAAAAGGTTGACCCTAGTATTGATCAGATGGTTGACCGTTTGTGAATACAAGGTGATGCAAGCTTGGATGTGCGGGTGGTGTAATGGATAACGGCTCGGAATTGTTAATCGGAGACCCGAGTTCCAATTCCTTTTGAGTTCGTGGCATTCACTTACGCACAAATAACTTTGGGAAAACTAGGAATCTACTTCTTATCCTCCCAACTATGGGTTAATAATAAGATGTGTATCACTAAATTTATTATCATCTCAAACAAAATGCTGACAATCTAAAATATATGTTCTGGCTTTAAATAACCTGCAAAGAGTTGATAAGCCGTAAAAAACGAATCAATCAATGAATAAAATATTGATTAGCTAGACAGGCATGATTTTTTTAGATTTATTTCCATTGTCTGGAATATAGATATATAGAAACTACCGTGGCCACAAAGTGAGGGATCAGTTTATATATTGATTGTAATATAGAATTGATCCCCCACTTTATATCTACATTATAATTCCTTGTTTGTTTATAAGCCGTAGAAAAAGAATCAATCATTCAATGAAATACTGATTAGCTACACCGGCATGTCTTTTTGGTCTATTTACATTCTCTGAAATATAAATCTATAGAAATCTACCGTGGACACAAAGTGAGGGATCAGTTTATACATTGATTGTAATGTAGAATTGATCACCCACTTTATATCTACATTATAATTTTTTGTTTGTTTATCAAATTCTGTTTAGTTATGAACCCACCTCTATCCCCCCAGCTATGGGTTAATTAGTATAACTTGTAACACAAAATCATTAATATCTGTCTGTATTTCTGACATCCATGAAACATGGCACGTGGAACTAGAACAGTTTACCCCAGTGAGCGAAATAAAGGGTTCGGTCCGACATTCCAACCACCTGAAGAAGGCCGAAGCGTACAACGGCCGAAACGTTGTGATAAATATGGCGACAAAGATGAGTACAATAGTCCGAATAATGTAAATAATGTACAAAATCATTATTATCTAAAAAAATCCTTAAAAAATATTTTATGGCTTTAAATAACCTACAAAGGGTTGATAAACCGTAAAAAGCATATCAGTCAAATAAAAGACATCTTCCTCGATTCCAACGCGTCTTTGGATTTCTGTATCACACTTTCCGTTGACAGTTAAATGCCTACATCAGTTCCATTTTGACGCCCCATATACAAGGTTTACATCTTGGAATATGAGAGATTGTCTTCTTATTGGTAATAGGCCTTTCTTGTCGAACTGTGAGACACAGGATTATGAGGATACACAGTGTGTCCATAAAGTGTCTTTAGAATTTAAAAATATATTACAAAAGCCATTGATGAGATATCTTAATAAGATTTGTTCGATGTAATCAGTAGTTATCAAAGTTTTTAATCCCACTGCATTTGTGTATTTCAGGTAACCTATCGATAAAAGAGGTACTGTTAAATAAACCCCTAAACAATGGCTACTCCTGTAGTAAAGGCACCATGTGCGTCATGGTTTAATGAAACAAAATCGGATACGCAGACTCAGTGAAACTATGGAACTAAGTTTGGAAGAGATCCACCGTCACGTCCGTTAAGTCGTGCAGGGCACAAGAAATTTATGGAGACAGGGACAGTGTTGGATCACGGGGGAGGAGTGAACGATCAAGAACGAGGGAAAAACGAAGTCAGACTGGCAGGTCACAGTCATGTTTTTATCTCGTTGAAACTTCACGGGTATCAACTAATAATAGTGTCTATAGAAACCAAAAGAAAATATCGAATAAAAAATCGTTTGAAAAATGGCTGTTGTTTATGTCTCGGGTACAAAACTGAAGTTAGCAGGAACAGATTAGTGATCTTCTTCCTAAACTCACTGATTGATTTCTGTGAAAGGCAAAACTCTCACATAGGCTCGCTAATTTATTTCCTTCTTCTTCCTCAACTAACTGGCTAATTTCTGTGAAAGGCAAGACTCTGACATAGGCTCGCTAATTTATTCCCTTCTTCTTCAACTCACTGATTAATTTCTGTGAAAGACAAAACTCTTACATAGGCTCGCTAATTTATTTCCTTCTCCCTCACCTCACTGATTAATTTCTGTGAAAGGCTAAACTTTCACATAGGCTCGCTAATTTCACTCCTTCTTCCTCCTCACCTCACTGATTAATTTCTGTGAAAGGCAAAACTCTCACATAGGCTCACTAATTTCATTCCTTCTTCCGCCTCACCTCACTGATTAATTTCTGTGAAAGGCAAAACTCTCACATAGGCTCTCTAATTTCCTTCCTTCTTCTTCCTCAACACACTGATTAATTTCTGTGAAAGACAAAACTCTCACATAGGCTCGCTAATTTATTTCCTTCTTCCCCCTTACCTCACTGATTAATTTCTGTGAAAGGCAAGACTCTCACATAGGCTCGCTCATTTATTTGCTTCTTCCCCCTTACCTCACTGATTAATTTCTGTGAAAGGCAAAACTCTCACATAGGCTCGGTCATTTATTTCCTTCTTCTTCCTCAACAAACTGATTAATTTCTGTGAAAGGCAAAACTCTCACCTAGACTCGCTAATTTATTTCCTTCTTCTTCCTCAACTCACCGATTAATTTCTGCGAAAGGCAAAACTCTCGCATAGGCTCGCTAATTTCTTTCTTTCTTCTTCCTCAGTCCTCTGAATTTGAAGAGAGTGGGTGAGCAGATTTATTATTTTTTTGCCCTCACTTAAGATTTTTCAACACACGCCGTTTATTATTAGTTCCGCTGTTTCAGAAAATAAAATAAAACACGACAGCCAACTAAACATGCGTACCCAGTAAAGATAAATCGATGGAAATAAGAAGAAAAATGTTGGAAAAAACCCTTTAAAAAATGACAGTCGTTTACGTTACGAGTACCGAACTAAAACTAGCAGAAATAGCAACGTAGAAGACCCGAAAGAGAAAAGAAAACCTTTTTTCCTTAACAGGTTACTCTGACTTTGTCTCGAAATAGTAGATGCACGTCTCGGCTTAAGAATTTGTCTCTCTGGAATAAATAAAAAGAGTACAGGTTCGATTTCTGCTGAAGGAAGAATTATTCTTGAGTAAGTCTTCGTAATTTAGACCGGCGGTTATTAATTTCTCTGATTAAGGACATAAACAAAAACAGTGAAAGCAACTCTAATCCGTCGGCTAATAAATACGGTTTATCTGATGGAAAAACGGATACAGTTTCACTTCCGTTTGGGAAGCCCAATTTTTCTTCAGAACGACTTCTCAGTTTAGCCAGGATTAGATAATGGTTTGTCCTTGACGATTGTAGCTTCCAGGGAAGCAACCACTCAGGACTCTGGTTCGCAATATCCCAGTTCCGAGAATTAAAATGACTCACCTCTGAGTACGTGGCATTGTAGGTCTAAGCTGGTGGAAACAAAGAATGTACTTCACCTGAACTTATGTCTCGTCAACTCGCTCTGTACAGTGATAGATAATGGTTCACCCTTGACTTGATTGTAGCTTTCAGGGAAGCAACAACTTAGGACTCAGGTTCGCAATAGCCCAATTCCGATAATTAGAATGACTCAACTCGGAGATTAAGTGACATGGTGGGTCCAAGTGTGACACCATTTAAAGGCACAAAAAGAAAAAAGAAAAAAAATAGAAAGGAAAAAGAGAAAGGAAAGAAAGGAAAAGAGAGGCGAGACTTAAGCTTAGATGATAAAAGAAGCCACCCACGACCGGGGACATTGACATTGTTATTTGGATAAGTAGCAAATGGTGAAAGGTTTCATTACCATTGCAAAAAAGTTCTAAATGGATAAGAAAATCGACTATGTTCTGGTGGCGGACTTGTGTTATCGGGGATAGATAACAGCCACTTAATGCTGGCGAACATCTAATTAACAAACCATAGGCCGGCTAGCTAAAACTCCGAGGCAATTCGACAATGTTATTTTGATAATGGAAAAGATGGTGAAAATTTTGACCACCAGTGTCGTAGAACTGTCTGACAAAGAACAGGTGAATACAGAGCTTTGGATAGATAAGAAAAATTAACTGTGTCTGAGGGGGCAAACAATATTGTCGGGAAAGGATTTAATAGGTCGTCTGCTAACCGCACACGAAGCCAACCCTGGGTCATGTCTTGGCCGTTTTGACAAGCCATCTATGGGTGTTAGAATTCGGTTGTGATAATAAAACTATGTTATCAGAAATTGGCACCAAGAATGCAAATACGGCTAGGACAATAGAACTGTTTTTTCGAGACGACGGTCGACTGTGTTTCGCTAGACGACTACCCCACTTGATAATTGGC